GATAATGGACGAAAGCAAGGATCAAACGAGTTGGGAACATGATGCGTAAACAATCTATATGAATACTACAAACGAAAAAAGGCTGCATTTCTGCGATTGCTTGCTCGCATAAAGTTCCATTGATCAGATAAAAACTATGATCTAATCGTTGATAAGGTAGTATGATGTGAAAAATTATAACCGCGACGAACTAACTGATTATTTCGTTTGTTATGGGTCCGAGAAAAAAAAGGACGTCACTACAAAAGAAAATAATATTGACCGAATTAAACGCGAGCACGAAATGATACGCATCAATTGATTGCATATGCGCAATATTTACATGTGATTCGTACATTCATTGTATTGTTTCTGTTTTTCATTAATCAAGGACTGACTTAAAGTTTAAAGAGAAATACAGATGATATTTCAATTCTTAATAACCTGCCATTCTTTTGTTCATGGTTTATTCATATAAAATGAAACTATGAGAATACAATGACTACTTGTATAATGAATTAGTATGATCGAAAAGCGGCATTTGATTAAATGACGAAACTTTATTTACTATAAAATCCTAAGAAAGATAAGAAAAAACAAAGATTCTTTTTATATTTCTGTTCGATGATCAGTTACTTTATATAAAAGAGTGACGAAAAAAAAATTAAGAATGATAAGATTAACTTTATAATCTTGCTGATAATACAATATCTCTTCAGTAGGCGTAAATAATATCGATAAACGAAACATTTTTAAACGTTATAGATTGAGCTTATGAAGTACAAGATGTTTGATATGTTGAAAACATCATCGAATTAGACAAAACATTTCAATTCAATTGTTTTACTATCAACAAATCAAGTATTACCATATTCGTTTAGTTTTAAACAAGGAAGTGAAGATAAAACAGTTTCACATTATATTTAGACAATAAGAATAGACAAACAACAAAAGAAAAAAAAAAACTTATAGAAAAAAAAAAGGGAAGAAAATAAATATTTATTGCAAAGATTAAGGCCGATTCGGTTTTGTGCATTTCACTGTTTGTTCAACTTGACATACCGAGAAGCACAATAAAAATAGTTCAGACTATATGTATATACACAAATATTTTAAACACCAGCAAGTCCTTTGAGTAATGCCGGTTCCAAATGAGCGAAATCAAAATCTTTAACAGACTCTAAAATATTGACAATAAATTGATTAAGTTTCTCTTGTCGGAAACAATTATTTAATGGATCATAGAATTGTTGTAGACATGCATCACCGCATTGACTTAATAATTGAAACCAATCTGATAGTAAATGAAGTCTAAAATATTATATTAAATAATGATAA